GTGTGACATGATCTACTATAAGAGCTGAGTAGGGTTGGGTGATCATGGATCGTCTCACCTCTGGATGAGCAAAGATCACTTCATTACACGAAGAGAATCCTTGGATCATCCGTCTTCCTCTGTTGCATCTGAATGAGACAAGGTTTTTCGATCTTGGCAAACTTTTAAGATGCGTGGACTTCAGAATTTTCCAGAGAGCCATGGGAATTCTGGGAATTGAAGTCCACAGGTCGTTAGCATTGCCAAGATTGAGAAATCCAGGGGTGAAATGCTGCAGGGATCTGTACAGGTTATCCTCGACGTACAACTGTTTATTTAGTGACCATTTGAAGTTACAATGGCAATAAAAATAGTGACTTTATGACTACTTTTCATACTTAACCACCATTGCAGCATTCCCAGGGTCACGTGTTCAAAATTCAGATCCTTGTAAACCGAGTCCCATTATGATGATTGCAGCGTTCTGGAGTCACATGACTTTCCGGACGAGCAAAGCCAATGGGAAAGCCAGATACACGAAACCGTGTTACTACCATGTTTTCCCCAAAAAATAAGACCTATCCCAAAAATAAGACCTAGCATGTTTTCTCCGTGTGTGTCCAAAATAAGCCCTACTTAAGTGCATTTGCAGCAGGCCACCGGCCCATTCCGTCTGGTTGCTCTCAGTGCCATTGACACGAGGTGATGCGAGGAGGGTGGAGCTGCCCCACGCGCACATTGGCTTACCTCAGGGCCCCCACAGCCAGCCCATCTACGTCCCGACGTCTGCCTCATGTTGTCAGCACCAGCAGCCATGTGCAGCTGCAGCCCACGGGGCTGCTGGCCCACGTTTGCTTCCCTACAGCCACAACGGAGCAGGAGGCCAAGCAATGTGCCGATGCCACAGCCATGAGGCAAGGCATGGGGGAGAGCTGCCTCCATGCGCCTCGCATCAGCTTACCTCAGGGCCCCTGCAGCCAGGCCATCCACGCCGCGACCACGGCCTCATCTTGCCGCCGCGGCTCCAGCAACCCCATCCAGCAAGACCCCACATGGCCACCGGCCCACTTCTTTTGCTTGCTCATGCCCGCACCAGAGCTGGAAGCTGAGCGACATTGCCGCAGCCACAAGACAAGGCGGGAGGATGGAGGACGAGGCGAGGCAGGTGGGGAGGGGGTGGAATTGCCACATGCAGACACTAGCTCACCTCAGGGAGCCTGCAATGAAATCAAGTTTGACACCCCTGATTTAATGGTAGATTTAAAGGGAATTATATTTTGACAGCCTCCCCCCGTCCCCAGACAAAATGATTGAAAAAAGAAAGAGCTATTTCATCGGGTTCAAGAAAGCAATTGTGGAGGACTCTCGGGGCAAGTATCTTAACGGCTTTCTGCAAACAGAAGAAGTTGGATCTCCATATGGTCCGAAAATGGCGAGCCGAGTGCGGTAACCTCTGGCAACAGGTGCGCGGGGGAAATGCTAAGGAGCACAGGTGTGGATCAGGTCGGCAAGCATTATTGCCTGAGCTGGAAGACAACCTCTGCGCATGGATTGCCGACAGGAGAGCAAAGGCTTCGGTTGTGCGCAGGGCAGATACCCAAGCCTTTGCCCTTGCCATGGCACCACACTTAGAAATATGCCCAGAAGAATTCAGAGCATTGCAACACGGGCTGGATGGCTTCCTTCAGCGATAGGAACTGTCTCTTTAAGTGGATCGACAACCCTACTCGCGCTGGAAGATGCCAAACTAGCGAAACAGGCACTCACATTGAAGTCCTATGTTGATGGCCTCGACTTTTCCAAAATACCAACTCCTCCACCATGATTGCCGTGAGTGAAAACGGCAGTGTTTGTGGGCCAAGTGTCTCAAAAGACAATTGACGGGACAGGCATCTCGTCGGTCTACGTTCCCTCCACTGGTTACAACAATGCACGTGTTACCGGCATTTTGGCCATTCGTCTGGATGGAAAGGAAGCCCCCCACCTCTTAATCATCACCAAGGGCAACAAAAGATAAGATTGAGCATGTTTCTGGCATTTACGTTCTTGAAACCGAAAAGGCCTGGTGCACATAAGGAGTTATACCGAAGTGGGTCGGTTTAAATGCTGCCACTTGTTGCGCGTGGTGAGCAAAGAGGTCTGTTGGTGTGGGATTCAGCCAGCGCCAGACATTTCACTGCTAATCAGAGTTGGAAGGGACCTTGTAGGCCATCTAGTCCAACCCCCACCCATCTAAGCAGGAGACCCTACACCCTTTGTGACAAATGGCAGTCCAGTCTCTTCTTGAAAGTCTCAGGTGATGAAGCTCCCACAACTTCTGAAGGCAACTTCTGTTCCGTGGGTGGATTGTTCTCCCTGTCAGACAGTTTCTCCTTATTTCCAGGTTGAATCTCTCCTTGTTCAGTTTCCATCCATTATTCCTTGTTTGGCCTTCGGGTGCTTTAGAAAATAGCTTGACCCCTTCCCTCCTCTCTGTGGTATGAAGGAGTTCCTTGCAGAGAGAAGAATAGATGAAATAATGACCCCTGCAGGAATGACAGCCCATCTCCAGGCTCTTGATATCGCGATAAACAAGCCATTCAAGGACCATTTGCACATGGAAATCAATGACTACATGGAACACAGAATGGAGAGAAATGAGCGTGGAAACTTTGTGAAGCCTAGTTTGCCAGAGGTCGTGACGTGGGCGAAGAATTCATGGGATAAAATCATGGACACCTGTGTTGCCAATGCGCTACGAGCTGGCTACACGGACAAGAGGGGCTCATTTCAGGAGACCTCTGTTGCTAGACATGAGCGTGGGGCCAATGGTTTTACTGGAAATGGAATTGCAAAAAAATTCAGGCTGAAGTTCAGGCTTTGGAGGGTTATATGACAATGTTCCAGAAGAAGATGACATGACTGTATTTGAATAAATGTAGATTGTTGTATATCAGCATTGTGGTTGCCCTGTGGTTTTGTGTGTGTGTGTGTGTGTGTGTGTGTGTGAAGGGGTAGGGCTAAAGTTAGGCATTGTGGATTAGGGTGAGGCATGGATGGCCTGGCTGCTGGGTCCCTGAGGTAAGCTGGTATGGGGCAGCTCCACACATCCCTGCCTCATCTCGTGACTCGGCCTCCTACTCTGGTGCTGCGCTGGTGCCAGAAGTAGGGGGCTGGCAGCCCACGGAGTCTTGCTGGATGGGATTGCTGGAGTCACCGCCGTGAGGCAAGGAAGGTGTCGGGGCCATGGATGGCCTGGTTGCGGGGTCCCTGAGGTAAGCTGGTGCAGGGAGCGTGGGCAGCTCCTCTGTCCTCATCTTGTGGCAGCAGCACTCAAAACAAATCAAACATCTCCCCAAATAAGCCCTAGTGCTTATTTCGGAGCCCAAAAGAAAAAAAGGCCAGGTCTTATTTTGGGGGAAACACAGGTAACTTAACAACTGCAGTGACTGGTTTAGCAACTGTGGCAAGAAAAGTTGTGAAATCAGGCAAAATTCACTTCACAAATGTCTCACTTACCCATAGAAATTTGGGGCTCAGTTGTGGTCGTAAGTTGAGGAATGCCTGCAGTGGATAGATCATTTGAACTAGATCTGGTCCCCAATAAGTTTTCCTAATTCAGCAGCCCACTCCAGCTTTTCCAGTGTCCAAAAGGCAGGCACTTCACATGATTATAGCAATCTCTGAGATCTATTCATGCAGGCAGCATATAATTTCCCAAATAAGTCAACAGACCACTCATTTCTAGCCTATACATTGCTAGACTCTAAGCTTGAGAATGTGAAGGTCAATCCAAGTTATCATTTTCTTTTAACCTCTGTTTTCGGTTTTGTTCTTTCAGGGCTTTAGAAGCATAGTAATCTTCAATTATTTTGTCATTAGAAAATGAAGAATAAATCCCAGCTACCGTTGAATAGGAGGGAGACCAGAGATGAGGAGTCAGTTTAGTGCAGAGGTTAAAAGTGGTAGCTAAGAAACCAGGAGACAGAGAGTTCTAGTCCTGCTTTAGGCATGAAAAGTGGCTGGGTGACTTTGGGCCACCCTAATCCCTTCAGTCCTTCCAAGGTCGGTAAAATGAGGGCCCAGATTGCTGGGGGCCATATGCTGACTCTGCAAACTGCTTCGAGAGGTCTGTAGAGCTCTGTGAATGTCGCTGCTATTGCTATCACCATTTTTAACCTTCCCAGACAGCTTCCAACAAGCAAGGTCAATGGAAGAAGCCAGGTTCACTTAACAACCGTGGGATTCACTAAATGACTGCAGTGATCCACTTAACGACTGTGGTAAAAAGATGGTAAAATAAGGCAAAAACTTGTTAAGGTTTTGGGATTTAAGAGCTGACCAGCAGTGAAGCTGACCAGCTGTGGCTGATGCAATAAGAATGAATCAGCCTAGCATGGGTGTTTCCCTTTAAGACTGGGGATGGGTTCTACCCCTTTAAGAGGTGTTGATATAAAGGCAGCCATTAGAGGGCGTGTTCTCTCTCCTTGTGTCTGGTATTCATTGCAGAAGTTCTCCGTGTAGAGTTAAGAAGAAAGATTGCTTGTAAGGTATTTTGCCTACCACGTATATGTCTGTATATAACCGTTGTACATAAACCACTGTTAAATGTCTAAGTCTCTATGTGCTGTGTTTTTCTCCTGGCTTGTCTCATAATGGTAGTCACGCTGCCAAACGCTCTGACAAAAAACTCTTAGCAATAGCAGTAGCACTTAGACTTAGATAACACTTCACAGTGCTTTAAACCCCCCTCTAAGCGGTTTACAGAGTCAGCCTCCGTCCCCCAACAATCTGGGTCCTCATTTTACCCACCCCGGAAGGACGGAAGGCTGAGTTGACCTTGAGCCCATCATGACTGAACTCCTAGCTGTGGACAAAGTCCATGTGCAATCCTGCCTTCTAACGATTCTGCTATTGCGGCTCTTAGCATCTGCATTGCTTAGCAGTGGACATTGGGGTGGGATGGGGAGGTGGCCGTAAGTCAAGGACTACCCCTAAAAGTCTGGCCCTTGTTGAAACCCACTTTTCTCGATCCCCCGCAGGAGAATGCCGGCCGAAGGTGCGCAACTCCAAAGCCAAAGGGGAAAGGAAGAAGAAACAGCAGCTGCCGTTGCACGAGCTCCTTCCTCCCCTGCTGCTGCCCCAGCCCTACCTGCCAAAGGATGAGAAGCTGCAGCCCAGCCCTCTGGCGGGAGAAAGGTCCATGGAGGCCAAGAACCTGGCCGAGGACAGCCAGCTCCCCATGCCCGACCTCAGCGCCCTCTTTTCCGAAAGTGGCGCCGAAGAGGACGACGCCAAACAACGGCCCATCATCCCCATGCTCTACGTGGTGCCCCAGTGCAAGAAGGCCCCCGCGGAGAAGAAGCGCCTGACCTGCCAGGAGGTCTTTGAGCGGTTTGTGAAGAAGGACCAGATGGTCCCCTTGGAGCTGGACAGGAAAGACGACGACAGCGTCAAGGCAGAGAGCGTGGAGGGGCCGGCCGAGCCCAGTAAATTGCAGGTAAGGCAGCCATGTGAAGAACAGAGTTGGAAGGGGCCTTGGGGGGGGGGCTGTCTTTTAGTCCAATCCCGGAGACCCTAGGAGACCCTAGACCAGCATCAATAAATGTCCATGGAGATTCTCAGTCATCCAGGTCCTAATTGTCCCAAAGGTGCTTTTTCAAGAGACAACTGGACTTTCTGGGGGTTTTTCTTGGAAAAGACGTTTCGCTTCTCATCCGAGAAGCTTCTTCAGCTCGGAGCTGAAGGAGCTCCTTGGTTGAGAAGCGAAACGTCTTCCAAGAAAAACCAGAAAGTCCAGTTGCTTCTTGAAAAAGCACCTTTGGGACATTATAAACAAATGGTTGTCCAATCTCTCCTTAAAAACTTCCAGTGTTGGAGCATTCACAACTTCCGGAGGCAAGTTCTCACCATAAAGAAATTCCTCCTTAGTGCTAGGTTGCTTCTTTCCTTGATTAGGTTTCCATCCATTCCTTCTTGTCCTGCCTTCAGGTGCTTTGGAGAACAGCTTGACCCCCTCTTCTTTGGGGCTTTATCTCTTTAGATATTGGACATGATAGCAGTCTTCCAATATCTCAGGGGTTGCCCCAAAGAAGAGGGGGTCAGGCTATTCTCCAAAGCACCTGAGGGCAGGACAAGAAGCAATAAGGATGGAAACTAATCAAGAAGAGAGAAGCAACCTAGAACTAGGGATAAATTTCCTGACAGTTAGAACAATAATCAGTGGAACAACTTGCCTCCAGAAGGTGTGAATGCTCCAACACTGGAGGCTTTTAAGAAGAGATTGGACAGCCGTTTGTCTGAAATAGTGTAGGGTCTCCTGCCTGAGAAGGGGGTTGGAGTAGAAGACCTCCAAGGTCCCTTCCAACTCTATTCTATTCTGTTAACTCAGACCTAGTGAAAAGAGACTTGCTAATCTTCCTTTCTGAGTTAAATTTTTTCTATGCATATTTTTCCCATTGTTTCCTTCTTTTGTTAAAACTCAGAAATGAAACAAGGTTTGGTTTCAGGTGGAAAAGGCCGTGCATTTTTAATGCACGGTTTGAAACGGTAGCATGGCTACCTGGTCACTATTCCTGTTTTAGATCTCTAATGTCTACCTTTTTCTGAGATGTTAAGACCTTGCTGAATTTATTGCCTAGAAATTGTCACATGGGCTCCTGTTCCAAAGTACTTCAAAGAGCTGGCTAGCTTTTTCTTCCACCCTAGTGTATTATTCTCTTCTTCCTTTCTCTGCTTGCTTCATACTCATCTCCCCTGCCCTTAGAGCTGTAGAAATGTAGTATTTGTTGAACGTGCAGTTTGCGGCTGGGCTGGCAATAGGGCAGGATGAACACAAAAAGAAATGTGCTTCTCCGGCTTAGCGCTTTGGGTGCTTTGATAGCAGTTTGGGGGGAGGGAAACATTCTCTAGCAGTATTTTTTGGATTATTTTTTAAAAAAGAACAATACTATGGAAATCTTATTGGTAGATGTCTGGTTTGGATTGCATGTTTTGTTAGTCCGTGGTGTTGTATGGTGTGAACACAGCCTCACCCTTTCCCAGACCATGCTCTACAGTTTTCGGTTGTGTGATTTAAAAAGCCTCCCTTGGCAGAGTGAAATGTTGCAAATTAAAACATTCCTGTGATGACCCGGGGCATGACACAAAGGCAACTCAGGCAGAGAATAAGTATGGGTCCCTTTATTAACTCCAACTTTGCCCCCAATGTCCCAGTTACCTTCCGGTCTGGAGAAAAACTCTCCCAGGAACCTGCAACAGCCTTTGGCTGCAGATATCCCAATCTAAACATTGTAAACAGAAAACTTTAAATTATAAATCCAACAAGGCAAAATAAGGTAATAAATCCGGCAGGGCAAGATAAGGAGTTCCAGAAGTGAAGTAACATGGCAGTAAATCAATCCAGTTGGGAGGATGCCAGGAACTCAGATAACAGCTGTCAACACTAGATAAACACAGTTTGTTCCCAGCAAACGCAGCTCCCATCTGCCTCTCCTTTAAACTCCATCCCCAGGTGTGCCTTGTGAAGAGAATCAGGGCCCTCTCCTCCCTCGTAAGCCATGCAACCCACATTGCTCTCTTCTCCGTTCTTCCCTGCGTGCCCTGGGATGAAGAGGGGGTGGGCCTGGGTCTTCCTCTGAACCTCTCTCCCTTGTTCTACCTCTCCCCTGCTCTGCCCAGCCTGACTTTGCGCTTCCCCAGGTTCCTCCACAGCCAATGGAGCTACTCTCCCGCTCTCTGTCAGCTGTTCGTCTTCATGACAATTCCTCTCCCTTCCTGGTGCCTTTTTTTTCTAAGCAAGAGTGCTTACAATTTTCCCATTGGTTTGCCCTTATAGTGCCGCCTTCTGCTACGGGTTTTCAAATCTGTGGATAGATTTGAACCTGTTTTGAAGGTTGGTTTTTTCAGGCACCGCACCCCAACCTCGTTCTTCAGAAATGCAGCTCCATGGGTGACGGTTTTACGAATGCCGGACCTCCTTTCAGTGCAGAGCAATTAACCGCTTGGTGCCTCCTCTCCTAAAATGTTTATTATTCTGAAGACGCGTCCCCTCACTCACGGCTAGACCTTGTCCTGAGAATGCTACAGTCACTAGCCAATCCAGCCGTGAGGTTTAAGAAATCGCCTTGGATGACAGGATAGACTGGATTGTTTAAAGTACCTGGCTTGTTTGTGACAGTGTGTGAGATAATTCTCCCCTGCTTTGTAAGCTGGGTCACTTTCCTTCTGAGTGATGAAGTGAAACAGACGGAAAAAGACCAGAAGGGGAATGTCCACCCATCCATCCCAACACAGAAAAAATGACTGCCGAAAAAGACCTACTGGCCCATCGAGTTTGCTCTTTGAGTTGATTTGTTTTTGTTTGTTTGTGTATTTATTTAAATTATTATTTTAATAATGTATTTATTTTTATTGTATTAATTTTCATTTTTGCCAGGTGATGGACGCCTGTGTATCTCAAGCATGCTTAACCAGTTAATGTTGAACTCAATTCCTCCATTCACCCATTCAACTAAACGTAGGGAACTGATGGCAGAGCAAGACCTTAGTGGCCCGTCAAGTCTGTTCTTTGATTTAGTTTTTTGTTTTATTTTTAATTTAATTTTATTTTTAATTTAATTTTATTTTTTTATTCTCGATTTTTGACAGATGATGGGCATATGTTTATCCCAAGCATGTTTAAACTCAGGGGTGGGATTCTACCGGTTTGGCCCAGTTTGGATGAACTGGTAGCTCCGAGGATGGGCGGTTGGGCCCACCAGCCAGCCCCGGCTCTAGTCTGTGCTGTATATCCTGGTTTTCAACCTCACCTGTTTCATGTGGCACTCTGCCGATTGCCACGCCTCCGCTGTTTAACGCGGAGAGATTGCTGGAGAAGGTCAGTAGCAAACGCTCTGCGCCACCCACAAAGCGCACACTCACCGAACCGGTTGTTACACTGGTTGAATCGCACCCCTGTTTAAACTCAGTTACTCCACCCATCCATCCATCCATTGTCATGTGACAATAAGATGGGGGCCATACACACCTAATAAATACATTAAATAAAACTCCATTCGCCCATTCAATTTATACGGCCACCTAGCTTGAATTCTTCAGTGTCATCTTGAAACAAAGCACACAACGATGGCTGCATTCCCTATCAGTGCCTGCTCAATACAGGGCTGATATGGAGCCTCTCCATCACAGTCATACGACAGGAGGGTCATAAAGCAGGTAGGTCACATAACCCAAGAGCCCCCAATCCCCAGGCTGGGGACCGTTATTGGTTCACAGCCTATTAAGAACCGGGCCGCACAGCTGAAGTTGCGCTGCAGGCAAACGAAACTGCACATGCGCGAGATCTAGGTTGCGCACTCTTCCTCCCTGTCCGACCCCCCCCCCCCAAAATATTGGGGACCACTGACATAACCAACCCAATTTAATGACCTTTTTTCCCACGGTCATTAAGCATCGTAAGCCCATTGTTCGCTATGGCACAGTTTTGCCAAAAAAGTGAACAAACGTTTGCTCTTTGGCATAAAATGCAGTATTGTGACTGGGGGACATTACCAACGGCCATGAGGTCAAGTCTGGCCACGTGACCACAGGGGAGCGACCGTCAGAACTCCCTTTTTTTTTTTTTGGCAATGAGTCCGAACTTGGAAGAATCGTAAAGCAGATTAGCTGAGAATTATGGGGAAAGGCAGCCTCTACGCCTCTGAAAGGCACCCAGCGCGGAGAGCCACCGGACATGAGGCTTAACTTTGTCACATTTAAAAGTCACTTTCCAGCGCAATGTGGTAGGAAGTTCTTAACAGCTCACTGGGCAGGTTCTTTCTCTGTGTCCTTCTCATCCAAGTCTTGTTTGTGTCTTTTTGTGTTGGCGGTCCTACTTCCAAATAACTCAGTCCCCCCTGTCAGTGACTCAGTTGCCCCCACAGAGAGACAAGAGAGGGGCTTCGGGGCAACGTATGTGTAATATTCCTTCTCTTACAAGCCTTCAGAACCCCTTCATACCCACCGAAGCCTTACTACTCTGTAAATGTTTTGGAGATTCTCCGTCATCCAGGTCACGGTTGTCGCAAAGGTGCTTTTTCAAGAGGCAACTTAATTTTCTGGTTTTTCCTTTGAAGACGTTTTGCTTCTCATCCAAGAAGCTTCTTCAGCTCTGACTGGATGGTGGGGAATGGGAGGGTTTATGCTCCTCGCAGACAGCTGGTCATTTGCATCCTTTTTAGGGAGTCCTTGAGGCCACTTGGAGATTTATCTCTGTCCTCAGGGTCACCTGAGCGATGCAAATGGGTGCGGAGCCTTCTTGGAACTGCTGAAAGGACTGCTGTAGACTGGAGAGAGATGATGTTGTATCCCTCCCCCTTGGTGGAGAAAGGGCTGGTCAACTTTTACATAGATGGTCTCTTTAATAACCCCTCTTTCAAACCAGCAGTTCCCTCAGAGTGGTCTGTGTCTTTTAAATGCAGATGGACTGCTGAATGGTGTCCTGATGAGTTTGTTCTTCTGTGTTGTGCCATGTGCTTATGAAGTGGTTGTTTTGTTTCCCCAGTGTACAGATCTGCACATGGCTCATGTGCAAATGACCAGCTGCCTGCAGGGAGTATAAAAAAAGGAAGGAAGGGAGGGAGGGAGAGAGGAAGAAAATGAAAGGAAGGAAGGAAGGAAGGAAGGAAGGAAGGAAGGAAGGAAGGAAGGAAGGACAGTATTACATGAATTAATTGGGCTGTATAAGAGGCTTGAAATACAATGCTAAAATTAAAAACTGATTATGAATTTACAGAGTAGAATTGGTGGCTTCTGAGATTATGAAA